GCCTGTGGCCTCTCTTAATTCTGCTGGCAAACCTAGGGACCGAACCCAGGCTTGCAGAAGGTGTGACCGGGTAGCGCAGGCGTGACCGGTTCCGTAACGCAGCTTTAATACTAAAACCCCTTTGAGAACGGGCACTTTCTTAAAGGTTTGGCATGAGTCAGGAGCACGTCCTGCGGTGCAAAGTGTGCTCGTGGAAACGCACGGTCCTCCCTCGCCTCGCCTCGCGCCGCGCCGCTTTGTGCCTGTCGGCATCACCTGGTTTTGCTCCCTGAGCCGCCGGCCGGGAATCCTGGCCCGCGCGCTCTCCTGGATGCAGGCGGGGATGCTGCCGCAGCGGTGCCGAGGAGCAGCGAAGGCGAGCCAGGCACAGCGAGTACTGCAGCCGTAACGGGGCGAGCTGGGCTTTTCTCCTGTGCAGAGTGGCTCTAGAGCCGCTGCCTGGTTTCAGGAGATCCTGGGCACTTGTATGTGTGTGTATATAAGGATGTGTATCGTTTTAAGGTAAAACAAAAGCCAACAATAACTGCTACTCTTTTTTGGCGGTACCAGTGTGCCACCTGTAGCATCCAGGCTGCAAGGAATCGGGCTTGAAAGTAAAGAGAAAAAGAGAAAGAGCCTGGAGGTATTTAAGAAGTTGCTTCTGGAAAGAGTTGTGCTCTGGGAGGGAGGGAGCTGCGAAAAAAGGAGGAAGAGAAGGCGGGAGCTGGAAGGGCTGGGAGCGGGATGCAGGGCAGGAGCTGGAAGGGCCAGGAGGGGGATCACAGAATCGCAAGGGTTGGAAGGGACCTTGGGAGATCATCTAGTGCAGCCCCCTGCTAAAGCAAGTTCTCCTAGAGCATGTTACACAGGACTTTGTCCAGGTGGGCTTTGAATATCTCCAGAGAAGGACCCCTGGGCAGCCTGGGCCAGGGCTCGGGCATCCTTACAGTCAACAAGTTCTTCTTCATATTCAACTGGAACCTCTTCTGCTTCAGGTTGTGCCCATTGCCCCTTGTCCTGGCGCTGCGCACCACTGGGAAGAGTCTGGCTCTGTCCTTGTGACCCCCACCCTTGAGATATTTGTACATGTTGATGAGATCCCCTCTCAGCCTTCTCTTCTCCAGGCTGAACAAGCCCAGCTCCCTCAGCCTTTCCTCCTAGGGGAGATGCTCCAGGCCTCATCATCCTTGTTGCCCTCCTCTGGACTCTTTCTAGGAGTTCCTCATCCTTCTTGAACTGGGGAGCCCAGAGCTGGACCCAGTGCTCCAGGTGGGGTCTCACCAGGGCAGAGTAGAGGATGCATCGGCCGTTGCTGTTAATGAATCTGCTTGGATCTGTGGGCGCTGCCGTTGGTTTGGGTGATGCCCCATGGGTGCTGCCGTTGGTTTGGGCGATGCCCTGCTGTTGGTTTGGGCGATGCCCCGCCAGCGCTGTGGTTTGTGTGCCAAACACCCGGGGGTCGACGCTTCCTCGCGCTGCCGCATCCGCCCAGGCTCGTGTGATGGAGGAGAGGTGCCCACTGCGCTCCATGCCTGCCCCAGGGGAGATCTCTGCCGTGCGGAAGGTAATTAAAGCCAACTTAGGAAAGGGGTTAACGAGCAGCGGTGGCAGGGAGGAATCCAGCTTGCGAATCCTCTTGCAAATGTGCCGGGTCACCCTGGAGGTCCTGTTGCAGTCTGTTGAAGGAAAAGCCCTCGGGCACACAACTGTGTTTAGAGAAGGGTTTGAATTGTGCGCTGTGGATAGACGCGGGGCCTCCCCTCGCTAGCACTGGACTTTCTTTTGTCCCTTAGTTAAAGCGCAGAGTGCCAAAATGCCAGGAAGAGAGGAAGAAGGGGGCCCTTAGGGCTGCCCAGCCGAGCCTGCTCCTGGCGCCTGCGGGCGATGGGGCGTGGGGCTGGGCAGGGTCCCGGGAGCAGACGCCTGGAACGCTGGCCGGGGGCGAGGAGCAGTGGGTGCTGAGGGCCCTGGGGCCGGGGGGGCCGCATTTGCCCAAAGGGGGAGAGGGGCTTAGTGTTTTCTGGAGGGGCTCAGGGCTGACCTCGCGTGGCTGGAGCTCACGATTCACAGCTCCGCTGTAGCCTTCAGATCCACTGTTCAGTGCCCGTGATTCGGAGCATTGGGGGGTTTTTTGGGTCGTGTTTCTGTTTTATTTGTTGGGGGTTGGGGTTGGGGTGGTGCTTGATTGTTTTGGTTTTGGTTTGTTTTTTTTTTTTTTAAGTTTATGTGCAATTTTTGGGACATTAAGGGATCTGCGTGTGTGTGCATGTACAGGTAAATACCTTACAATGTATTCCTATGGCTTCTTGATAAGTTTGTAGCTCTACAGTTTTAAAGTGGAAAACGATCTAGGACAGTCCTGTTCCCTGGCCCTTGTGGAGTACGGCTTCATGAGCACGAGTTTGCAAGTGCTCCATCTTAGAAATCCTCCTCACGCCTCCTCTGCTAGGACGTTGCATTCCCACGTGCGTTAAGTGTTAGGAATTAGATTTTTCCCCAGGATTTGTTATCAGCAGGGTCAGCGTGCCAAGAAAGTCACGCACAGACTGTCAGGTGTGGGAAGGGCGCTGTGCCCGTGGGTTGTAGAGCTGGGGGGGGGTGCCCCGTGTGCGGAGCTGCCACTTGTGCCAGGCAGGCTGCGGGCTGC